GACGAATAGCCCCCCCCTCCCCTCCTCGTAGAATTCTCAACAATCCACAAAACCAGCTATGTCTAACAGCAGTTCCACCATCATATGTCAAATATGTCATAAGAATGGATATTCGGCTGACCAATGTTGGCATCACTACAGGCTAACAACAGGCAGTACCACTTCTTCTTTCAATTTTACCACTACAAACAAGAATCAAGATTGGGTTCTTAATACAAGAGCCACAACACGTATGACTCCTCATCTAGACAATATTTACAATCTAACTATTTACAATTGTTCTGAATAAGTAATGATTGACAATGGTCAGGCTACCAACATTTCTCATATAGGAAATGGGCTCGTGTCAATACTAGAGCATAAGTTAATCTTGACTAAAATCTTAAGAGTGCCACATATTTCCCGTAGTTTACTCTCTGTATCAAAATTTGTAGAAGATAATCAATGTTTGATTACTTTCAATGCTAATGGTTTTTTGATTTAGGATCACAAAATCAGGACACCTCTTCTCAGTGGTAGTCTTAATCAAGGTTTATATGCAATAAAAGCTTTACAGCCACCATTTCTTCCTCAACTTGCCACAATAGGCTCGGTCATCCAAATTCTAAGGTGCTTCGTATCATCAGTAAACAACAGACAAAGCTTAAAATTTCTACAAACAGTGATATAAGTAATACTTAATTACAAAACAAATGCCACAAAACAACCCTTTTCAACTAGTAATACTAAGTATGCTTTACTAAAATTGCTTTAGTCTGATGTGTGGGGGGCATATTCTCAACCATCTACTGATGGCTATCTCTATTTTGTCACATTTATAGACGCTTATTCTAGATATTGTTGGTCTTTTCCTTTATATGTAAAATTTGAAGTTTTCACTTGTTTTATTAACCTGCACAAACAATTAACCAATAAGTACAGCTGTAATATTAAAAATTTAAGAACTAACGAGGCACTGAACACAAAACAAATCAATTGCAAAGTTACTTACAACAACATCGAATACATCATCAAATTAGTTGCCCTTACACTCTTGAAGAAAACAGAGTGGAAAAGCGTAAAAATCACCATATTATTGAAACAACTAGAACATTTCTGAACACTACATAGTTACCCACAAAATTTTGGATTGTGTTGTTTAAACAACCATTTTTCTCACAAACCGTCTGCCCTCCCCAACAACAAATAATATATCTCCTTTTTAGCTTCTCAACAATACTACTCCTGAACACCATAACTTGAGAACCTTTGGTTGCTCATGTTTCCCTTGACACCAAACATCCACGCATCACAAATTTGCCTCTAATGCTCCATTATGTGTCTTTTTGGGTTACAATAGCCATCACAAAGGTTACCTGTGTTTTGACATTCAGCAACAACGAATCATCATCTCTAAACTTTTCACATTCAATAAAACACACTTACCTTTAAAAAATATTCAACTTTCAACCATTTCTTCCCAACCCGACACTCAATCCTAACCCCCTTCCCTATTACGTCCAACTGCAACAATCATTTCCCCTCAACCCACTATATCTCCTCAATCACAAGATACTTCTCCAATCCTTCCTCAACATTGTTGTCTAACTTCAGCATAACCGTGTTGTATCAATTGTACTGAGTTCCCTCAGTACAACTAATATACATGGATGTACAATAGTAAACTCAACCAATTTTTTTCCTCGAATTTTTACCAATTCAGACATTGCTGCATTCCTTCAATACAACTGTGTTGTATCAGTCATGTTGAGATAAATCAATACAATCAATGCAATATGTTGCATTTTCATTTTAGGTGCATCCACCCAAAAAAAAAAAAAAATCTTCAGTTAGGAAACAAAAAAATACAACTATTAGAAAAGAAAAACAAGAATTATTTCATATTTGCAAGCATATCATCGGATTTACTTACTAAAAAGACAACTATTTGATCACACACAATCGTCATATGCTGTATTTTGATTGCTACAGGATTCTCAATCTTTTATTCGTCGTTAAGCTAGGAGACAATCAGATATGTGGAGCCCTAGAATGAGACAATGTTGTCAAACAAAAATAAAGGAACTAAACAAAAAAACGAACAAAATGCGAAAATCTAATCTTAGTACAACAAAGGAATCTTGGGGGATAAAAAATACCGAACAACAAATCATATATAGAGCTTGATACCAATCTCAGAATATAAAACATCAAATGAATCTCAAATACCAAGAGTCTAGATCTCCGTGTCTAGTATTTGCCTTTTTTTGGATGGTTCGGGTTGAGGTCGGGCCACTCCTTGTCAATTTAGAAATTAAAATATAATTTTTAGAATAAAATAATAATAATAAACAAAAAAAACAATTGGCATAATCGCATAACGCACCCCCCTCCCTCCTTCCGGTGGAAAAATTATTCCATACTGATCGGACACCGGACGGTAAATCACCTGATCTACGGTCCCAATATATTTTTAGTGGGCCCCACCTAAATTTTTTTATATTTTTTTAAAAAAACATAAATAATCCTGACCGGATCACAAGGGTCGGACCCGGTGTTGGCAAGCAATAATTCCTCCTCCCGGTGTCGCCCAAAACCATCGAGTTCTTAACGAACCTTCGCGATCGCCCCAGCTGGAAAGGCAACGACGGGATCACAGCTTACAGAGACCACCGAAACTTTCAATTTTCTCTTCCTTCCGCTCCACCCCTACCAGGATCCATCGAGGAAGGTAAGCCTGTTCGCGCCATTCTTCCTCTTCATTCGTTTAGGATTTGATAAATCTGCCGATTCACAGGATTTATCGCGAATCGGCGACAGTTTGGGATTTACAGGAGCTCAGGATTTAGATAGACATTTTTTTTTGCCGTTTGGCAAGATTTAGCCTAAATCCTGCGTAAATCGTTTGCTTAAAACCGGCTGCTAAAACAGCCCCTAGGTCTATTTTCACCTTCTGGTTCGCCGCAAAAGGTGAACTGCGAAGCAGTAGAAGCTGAGTGGCTGCGGCAGGCGGAAAAGATCGGGAACTCCATTTGGAAGGAGGAGAATCTCCATCTGTCCCGTCGCTCATAACCCTCCTCGGCGAAACTCCTAGCAATTACTCGCCACTCTCTTTCTCTTTCAGTTGCGCAACTCTATTCCCTACATCCAAGAGTAAGTGAGGTCACCTCTCTCATTTTTTTTAACCTTATGGCTTACAACCTCGGTAACATTTTCTGTGTCTTCATTTTTAATAAAAGGAATGGCGAATGGATTACTCTGGGCAACTGCGGAAGACCTGGCGAGGAACAGAGGAAAGGTGTTATCCTTATATCGTCAAATTCTTAGATCTCTCAATTCCCCTCATCTCCCACTCACTTACTCCTCTCGCCTCTCGAAGAAAGCTGAGGTCCGCACCATCTTTATATTTGGATGCGAGGAGCGATCCCTTCACAACATTGCTGACCTTATTGATACCGCCGAGTACTCCCTCTCGATTCTTAGGAAGGGCCGTCTTCCATAAAGACAAATCTGTTGAATAAGGCATTTCCTCTATGCTCTTCCCTCTGTATTTCTTGAGAATAATGAGATAAGTATTTCTTTTTTTTTCTTAAATCTGACATGATATTATTTACTTAGTATGCTTTATTTGTTCGCTATTTCTTAGTATGCTTTATTTGTTCGCTATTTCAAAGTTTTGTTTTGTGATGTTGCTGCACCTTTGAACAGCGTATATGGGGGTATCACTCATGATTGGGCTATGAATATTTGGTTTTCAATCTAACAATCCCAAGCTAAAATTTTCTTAACTGATTTATTGGGTTGGTTAGAGAGGGCTCACATTGGATCAAAATATAGCAAAGTTTTATAGAATTTTTTATTAGATTGCAAGTTAAAATGGGAATAACATACCATTTTTAAAGCTACGATTTTTATAGGAACTCTTTCGGTTGCTTTCTCCTTTTTCTTGCACTAAATTAAATTCCTCTTGTTATTCATGTTTAGTTGCCTTTGTTTTTCTTTGAAGTAGCGAGTAACAAAATTGCCTTCAATACAGTAGAAAGAAAACAACAAGTATGAGTCATTTCAATTCTTTGGATGTGAAGCCAATAGTTGTGGATGTATGGGTTACTAAAAATGGAATACATGAGACAGCCCTCCATCGATGGTGAGTAGAGAAATACAGAGAAATACAGAGTGGAGATTGAAGCCACTGCTGGGCTAATAAGTGAGAAGATGGAGGAGAAATGAAAAATGTGTTAGATTTTTTTTTTCTTTTGTTGAAATTTTGATTGTTGATTTATTCATTCTATGCTTAAAATCAAATATAATTGTTGCTTAATTTTCAATTATTTAAAAACATAATATTTTACTGCCAAATTCTATGTTATTCAAGTGTACATAAATGTAGGATTTTCGGTAGTGACTCTCAACCCAGCTAGGCAGCCACCACGCATCAGAAAAAATCAATTTGGTTTTACAATGCATCAAAGTTTGATCTTGAAGACACTTAGAATCTGTTTGGGGCAGCTGCAGCTTATCTAACTTATCCTGATAAGCTCCTGATCAACAGCTGATCCAGATAAACTGATTGGTTATTTGGTTTGTGCTTTTGGAAAACAACTGATTTGCAACTGATTCTGATAAATAACTATTCTGCTCTGTGCAGTAATGTTGTTTGCAACATAATTGTCATAACAATTTATTTGATACTTGAGAATAAAAAATGAATTAAAAAGAGTACAAAAAAAAACAAGTTAAAGACCTAAAAAGTCAAATTTGTAAATATTTATGCATGCACCTAAAAATAGAAGATTTACATTATTACATACTTACTACATCTACATAAATATCCAACACCTAAACTTTTAAATCTTGGATTTAGTAAATTCAATTTCCTCACAGTTTTGCCTTAAGTCCCATATTTACGATACTTTTAATAGGATTTACGTATTAATTTAGCATAAGTTCAACAAATGCTATAAATGTGTTAGATAAATCCGACGTTACATTGAATCCATTTTTTTTCTCATTCTGCTTATTTTATGACGTAAATCCGAATTTACTAAATTAGCTTAAGAAGAAAACACAAAAGAGATTTATGCCAAACATGCCAAATGAACTTAGCAAGAATTATGGAGAAAAACAAATAATAACAGAAGAAATTAAGGACGAATAGCCTGAAGGAGTCTTTAACATTGCAGCGATCTCTAAGATCGCCCAAATTTTCGGCTGAAACCTTATCTTCCAAATCAAGATTATTAGACAGAAACGCACAATCAATTCTAAAATCTAAGAAGACGACAAATTCTTATAAAAAGTGGTTTAACGAGAATGTTACCTTGAGTTGGAGATCCCTTGCTATCTACAATCCTGGGCTCATTGGGAGAAGTTGCCGCCATGAAAGGAGATCTCTTGCTTGGCCCTAACATCCATCGGATCAGAGGGAATACCCATCTCTATCAATCAAAGCTGTGACAAATAGAGCTAGAACCAGCCTGTGAAGCGAATGGTTTCTGGTAGGAGTGGAGTGGAAGGATGAGAAAGAAGGGAGTATCACTGGTTTTGTATGTCGCGATCCCATCGTGGCCTTCGCTACTAGCTCTAATCGCGTATGTATTGCATGGTTTCTTTCACGAAGCCGACGGTTTTGGGCGAAACTAGGAGGGGAGGAGTTATGACTTTGGCCTGCGACGATGAGGGATGCTTCGGCCTGCGATGATGAGGGATGCTTCGGCCTGTGACGAGGAGGGACTCTTCTCTCTCCACGGGACGAGGGCAACCCCAGCAAAATGTTTCCCGAACGCGGGCTGCAGGGCTCGACCCAATGTAAGATAAAATCGCCGTTCGCACATAAGCTGCCCGAACACTACATCCAAACGCTTAGGTGGCGTTTTGAAAGCGCGGCCGCAGCTGATAAGCTGCCCCAAACACACCCTTGATCAAAAGAGATAATATTCTGCTATTTTTATTTGCATCTTTCACTGTATGTTTATAGTTCATTTATGCATATATGTATGCACCTACATACATACATACGCTCTCGTAGAAAGAGTTGAGAGATCCCAACCCTGACCACTTGCGCAAAAGCCGAACAATAATGCTTCATAACGATAGAGTAAAAAAACTAAACAAGATGTCAATGAATTCGCTTTTATGGACCATGGTGTCATCCAATCAGAGAAACACAACCTCAGAAACCTTACACTTATCTTATACATGGACCATGGTGTCATCCAATCACCCATACATAGAGAAAAATTAATTTATGGCTTTTATGGAAATATATTTATCTTTTGTTAGGGTCTATTTCTTGAAAATATTTTATTTTTCTTTTTTTTAGCAATGGAATTAGATTGTACAAAGTTTTAGGAGCAGTTTCGATGGTGGCTTTCTATTATGTGTACTAGAAATATGGACGTCTGCAATAGGAGAAAACAATGATTTACAATTTTCATTCGACTTCTTTATTAGTTGTTATAATCAAGGTTGAGATATGCCAAATAAACGCTCAAAGTTCAATGGTTCAACCGAACTGAATTGAGTGATATAATAAATATTTTAATTATTTTAATATAATTTAGATAATCGAATAATGATATTTTAATATCATTTTTATTGATTCAACAAATAATATATTAATCTAAGACAATATTTATGAATATTTTGAATAATATTCTAAATAAAAAATTTTAAATAATAATATTTTATCTTTTTGTTAATTTTAATATTTGATTTTTCCATCCGGTCAAAATCAAAATGTTAAAATTGCATAATATTTGAACTGTTCAGATTCTTAAAAATGGTAATGGTTATTCGGTTAAACCCTGGTTCTGATTAGTTCAATACCGGTTCTACGTAGAAGAAGTTTTAAGTTTGGACTGCACAAGCTGAATGACTACCGTCAAACCTGCCGGTCCGATCTAATTTTGAAAACCATGGTTATAACAATAATTATACATTAAATTTGAAATTCTATAAATTCTTTTTGTCAAATAATATAAATGCTTCCTCAGTTGAACAAACGGAAACAATTTCAATGCATTCAGTGTACGGTTGCTCCAAAATTCTCTGATGTAGTTAAGTCCAACGTGGAAACAGGTCTAAGGACATATTCATAATAAAAAGTTAACGACTATAATTCCAATGCGTAAATACAAAGAAATCACTTAAATTTTATGTAATGCAAAGAATGTAAATACAAAGAAATTTTATTGCATGCAACACTTATCCATCGCAACATTAATGATTTTTCTTATTCACGATCTGTTGAAAAGTAAGCATTTATATGGCCAAGCAAGATCTCATTTCTGTGAAAGCTACCCTTCAGATTCAGGAGCAGACTATAATTCATAAATTACTGAGTGTCGATTGGGCTTATAGGATTGTAAAGACAAAATTCTTGAAGAAAATGCTTATGAACCTCTTTTAAGTTTTAAGAAACTTTCACTATCTTCATGATGAAAATTCAATGTTTTCATCATTGAATGCTTGTAAAGACGGTTCCCGTTCCTATTCCAATATTCCTATTCCAAAGCTCCAATGGACAAGCACACGCCAGAGGTGACTATCCAGTGTCCGGTAATTAATGAACACACTCTTTGGATTCCCCAGCCAACGGCGCTAGTCTTCTACACAGTTATATATTGAAAGGCAAAGGTGCTTTATCTGCATTACAGATCTCGCGGTACACCATGTCCAAGGTAACGGTCACATTTTTGATTGATAGAGAAGAGAAGCGTGTTGTATGTGCCGAAGCTGGAAGTGATTTCGTCGATGTTTTATTTAGCTTTCTAACTCTTCCACTTGGAAGCATTGTTCGACTTTTGGGTAAACAATCTGGGTGGGGATCTCTAGATAGTTTGTGCCAGAGCGTTGAGCAGTTGGACATCAAGCACTTCCAGACCGATGCATGCAAGAAAATGCTTCTCAATCCGCGAAGTGCGGCAGCATTAACTTGTGAGGACCTAAAGGTTAAAAATATATTTGCTGGTAATCCAAGGATGTCCTACTACTGTGAAGAAACTTTATCCTTAATTCAATCAGTAAGTCAAACAGTTTTCCAGCAAGAAAGAACATGTCGATGCCACCGCTGTGGCAAACTTATGAATAAATGTTGTTTCCACATGAATAAGATATCAGAATGTGGAGGAATCTTTGTTAACGAAAGAGTAAATTTTTTGATAACTGATAATCTACGGGTGATACCTGCTTCTTTGAAGGGGGGCTGCTCACTTTTTAAGGAATTGCAAATTACAGATTCAAGTATAATGGAGAAGAAGTTAATACATTTCGGCACAGAAGAGGTAAGATCTACTTTGAAGACTTGAGGAAAAAATGCGTTTAACCCTCAAACGTTGAAAATTTAAAGTTAAAATGCTGTTTTCCTTTTATTTTTAGTACACTGAACTTGTTGAGAAAGCTATTAGTATCCAAGAATCCATTGACAGAGATTTGCTTCCCTGATGCTTGTTTAGTATCCAAGAGTACATTGACGGAGGTTTGCTTCCCCGATCCCTGTACGCAAGCAGGTGTAAATTGCACTTAAGCGATTAAACAGGAGTTGAACGTGAATGAAGAAGACAGTGAAATTACCTTAAATCTCATCTTGACAGAGAAACCAACAGTGTTATATATGCCGATGTTGGGACAGATTTTGTCAATCAACTTTTGAGCTTTCTCACATTTCCACTCGGTTCTGTGCCTAGACTTCTTTCTAATAACATATCAAAGCTAGGAGGTTGCATCAATAATCTATATTCATCAGTGGATAATATGAGTCAGAAAACTGCAGAAACTAAGCAGCTGTATTTAAGTTAAGTATTAAGTTATGCTGTAGATAAAGGATTTGTAATATTAAATTAAGGATTGTAATATTAAATTAAGTATTAAGTTATGCATATTTGTTTATTCCACTAGTTGAGTTGCACTGACATAATTATCCAATTATCAAGAGCACAACTCTTTTAATGAATACAATATAAAACCTAATGAAAGTTATTTCATCTGCCCATGATTTGGTATTATGATAAAGTGATTTATAACTAAGCAGCTGTATTTCAAAGTTATATTTCAAAGTTATAAATAAATAATTGTGATTAGTTTAATCTTAACCAATATATTTAGACAATAAATATGATTATGCAGTTGCATTTTTTGTTGAACATTTCATTAGCACGGTCACTACACATCTTAAAATAAAGGAAGCAGAATTTTATGGATAGAAGCAAGGCAAAGATGAAGGTAAAATGATGAATAAGAACAACATCCCTCCGCCCTCCTCTCTGATGAGTCTTGCTCGAACCTTTTGCAAACTCTCTCCTGTATTCAAATAAAAAATAGAGAATATCATAGTGGCATTGCAGGAGCACAATATATTGTCCAGGCTTCTGTATAAGTTGTTATAGAAGAAGTAAATGCTCAAAATTTAATGGTTCAATCAAGTTGAACCGGGTGATGTAATAAATATTTTAATTATTTTAATATAATTTAGATAATTGAATAATGATATATTAATATAATTTTTATTGATTCAACAAATAATATTTTAATTTAAGACAATACTCATGAATATTTTAAATGATTTTCTAAATAAAAAATTTTAAATAATAATATTTTTATCTTTTTGTTAATCTTAATATCTGATTTTTCCATTTAGTCAAAATCAAAATATTAAAATTGAATAATATTTGAACCATTCGATTCCTTAAAAATAGGACAGCTTATCCGGTCCAACCCTGGTTCTGATCGGTTTAATACCGATTCTTTGCAGAGCGGTTTTAAACTTGGACTGGACCGGTTGAATAACTACGGTCAAACCTGCCTATCCGGTCTAATTTTTAAAACCATTTTTATAACAATAATTATAAATTATATTTGAAATTCTACAAAAAAAAAAGAAACTCAAATAATATAAATGCTTCCTCAGCTAAAGGAACGGTAAGACAGTTTCAATGCATGCACTGTAAGGTTGGAGCCCAAATTTCTCTCATAAAGTTCAATGTGGAAACAGGTCCAAGGACATATTCATAATAAAAAGCTAACGACTATATATCCCATGCGTAAATACAAACAAATTACTTAACCGATGCTTTGCTACAATAGCCTTACCTCTATTGTCTCTCTTTGTTTGCTCCACCATCATCACTCAACTTTTGTCACTGGTCTACGATTGCTCAACCAACGGCCGACTACAAATGTCTGACCTTCATTGTTCGACTAAGATATTCTTATTCACCCATTTACAGCCTCCAAATAACACTCATTTAATTACTCTTTCTCAACTCTAATCTCATAATCATCGTCGCTCAAAGTGATGTAAGAAAATTTACCAAAGATGGTTGACCAATATGAGGATGACTGTTATAGCATTAGCATGTGTGAAAGAAATCAAAGAAATTCTATCAAGAATTTTTGGTCTATCAAAAGTTGTTTTTCAAACTGTAACTCGGTGACTTTAACTTGTATGGAAAAAGTCAAATTGAATTCCCCTAAGATTGATTATACCTTGATTAGGAAAGGATGGTTGTCACCTGGATCCCGAATCAAAGGTAAAGGTGGTATGTATTTAAATTGTTACTGCCCTTTTGATGTCAATTCTCATCCTCGTCTTGGGAGTAGAAGTCCAGCTAGGGACTATTTGTAGATAATTAATAATATTGTCTTGCATGCCAAGAACTTGTTAAATTGTGGTCATGTTTAAGATGTTGACATGAGTGGCTATTCAAAGTTGTAGTGAAAGTTGCCGTCAGTCTAAAACTGGTTCTCATAGACTTGATGTCCTAAGGATGAAATGAGGTCAAGTGGAGTGGGTGTGAGACGACGGGCTTGAACCGAGTCAGGTCGAGCTAAGATCACGAGACAACGGGCAATTACATGGGTTAGAGGTGGGTCAAGTCAAGTCATAGTTGATTACTTGTGGGGCCAAAGAGGGTTGACTCGGGCTCGAATGCTCATCTGCAGTACACACAACTCACATAATTTTGTGAAATGCCACGCGAGCATCGGCACACGTGTATGTGAGCTCATTTGTGCACACTTGTGGGACTCCTTTTAGCTTACTTGAAGTTATTTTTGTTTTTAGGTTGTTGATGCCTTTTTGAGACTCCTATATTAATATGCAGCTTATCTTCTGAGGCTTTGCATGACGACGTTAACCTATTATGGATAAAGTCAAATTAAATTCATTTGTAATGTAAGACTCGTCCTGGGTTGTTTAGCTAGTGATGCTTGATGATGTTAACCTGTTTTGGACAAAGTAGAATTACATCCATCAAAGACGATTGACCTGTCTTGTTAATCAAAGTTTCTGCTTGATGACCATAGCCTATTTTAAAAGAGTACTATGAAACTACTCCAAGAATTTATTTACATATCCTAGACTTTTAGTCGAAACTTCTGTTTAATGATCATAGTTTATTTTGGAAGGGTCGAGTCAAGTCTCAATGAGACCAATTAAGACCATAATAAGATGTCAAATATGTTTTGTATTTCTTGAATCAGGGGGTGTAAGTCGTGATGAACTGAACTTTTTTTTTTTTTTTGAACAGTCGTACTCAATAATAATATTTGATAAATTTTTGTTGAGGTTATTGAATTTGTTGCCCCCAGCAAGGGTATTGTCTACACAAGTTTGGTTATTTTGTATAAAATAGTACATGTGTCAAACATTGTAAACGTTAGCTTCAAGATCCAGTTGAGGAGAAACTCCAGTAAGATAAGGTTGCTCGAATAGAGCATTTTTTAGCTAGACAACACTGATTAGTAGTTGATCTTACTATCATGTATAGCTAGAGATGCTCGATGACGTTAACCTGTTTTGGACAAAGTGGATTTAAATCCATCAAAAGTGTTTGACCTATCATTCATTGTTAATCAAAGTTTTTGCTTGATGACCGTAACCTATATTAAAAGAGAACTACGAAGATACACCAAGAATTTTCTTACATATCCTAGACTTTTAGTCGAGGCTTGTGTTTAACAATCAATTTTTTTTTGGAAGGTTTGAGTCAAGTCTTAATGAGAGCAATTAAGCCCATAATAAGGTGTCAAACATGTTTTGTATTTCTTGAATCTGGGGTGTAAGTCGAGATAAACAATTTTTTTTTTTTTTTGAAATTGTGGTTGCAGTCACACTCAAGAATAATATTTGATAATCTTTTGTTGTTGCTATTAAATTGGTTGCCCCAATAAGGTATTATCTACACGAGTTTGATTATTTTGTATAAGATAGTGCATATGTCCAATATTGAAAATCTTAGCTTCTTGATCCAGTCGCGGAGAAACTTTAGTAAGATGAGGTTGCGCTAATAGAGAATTTTCTAGCTAGACAACACCAATTAGTAGTTGATCTTATTATCATGCTAAGATTATGACATAAGTTTCATCTTGAATTTGTGATCAGAATTATCCCTCATCTGAAATTGGTTCTTCTAGACTTGAAATCAAAATGAAATGTGGGATGACTAGCCCACCATAATTGTGCCGAGAATGTTGACATAAACGTGATACTAGATGACTATATTGCCATAATTGTGCCTAGGATGTCAACAAGAACGATCTTTTGAGACTGCAGTGAAGATTGCACCTCTCGTCAGTGAAAGCTTCAAAAATTATCTTTTAACTTTCACTTATTTTGATAAATTTGGAAGAATAAGAGTTCTTGACAATCCACTGTCAGCAAAGTGATGTATACTATTGGAAAACAAAGCAGAGGCTTGGTGTCCTGGATCTCAAGTCCATGCCCAACGTGACTTTATTTCTCATTGACAATGTCAAATTGTTATGTGTTAATTAATTCGCGGTAGAATAGTGATATTAATATCTTAGTGTTGTACAAAGATCCAACACATACACAAGAGAAATTTATAGAGAATATAACAAGAGCTTTTATGTGTAAAACTCGAAATTGAAAAAACCATGAGACTTGGCATAAAGGAAATAATTTACTATGCTAATGTAGGTCACAAGACTTTGTTAGCCGTTAACTGGCCAGGAGCAAGATTACACAAGTGGTGTGACTTCTGATAAGGGTGTGGCGTAACATGTCAGAGAAATGTAGGTGTTCTGGCAAAAATAGTCCAAAGACAACTATGGTGGTTTTGACGACGACTATCGGGCAATGTTAGTGCATCGGTAGGTACATCGATCAGAGCAGTGAAGATCCAGGCGGTGACTGACGAGTAATTGTGGTCAAGTGGTGGTGCCCTGATGGTATTAATACTTAACAGTGGCAATAAGGCGGTGGTGTAGCTCTAAGACAACAGTTCGACGATGGTGGAGATTGATGACGATGATATTTAATGGTTTGTAATGGTGGAGCTTGATGGTGACAGTCTCGCGGTGGTGGAACTTGAAAACGACGGTCGACACTATGGTCTAGTGACGGTGGAGCTTAACAACTGCAGTGACCAGACACTGGTGGTCTGACGACAGTTTGGCAGTGGTGAAGCTTAGTAGGGCCAGTCTGGTGGTAGTGGAGCTCAGGAATTCTTACGAGCTTGAATTTCCCGTCAACCTTCTCCAAGTTCAAATCCTATGTTCCCTTTCACGAAAGGACTGAGAATCTAATTATAGATTTTGTAAGTGATACTCTCAGTAAATACTACATGAATTAGAATCACTCCATCGAACATCTCAGAGCAACCCCTTTGTTCAAATAGTGTTATTTCAGTATTTGAGCATCTTAATAATGTCAGAATCGAGTGATGTTAGGCTCATTGGATTCAGTTCGATGAAATATTTGATTTGACTATAACTTTGTCAGACTTAGATTCCATTTTATCATTTAATTGCTCATACAAAACCTTTAATTGCACTTAAACGACTTGCTTTGGGCTTGATCGGACTTGGATTAAATCAATTT